AAAAAATGTTTCCTGTTGGAAGGGGCACCCTGTTTGGTCAGGACAACCCACTTGGCTGGGTCAAAACCAGGTGTCACTGCTGGGCGCCGACATCGATCGATGCAGATGGGTGGATGGATGAGGGCAGCTTTTTTGGAAATACCCCTTGAAGAGTGAAAGATCCATACTCAATCCACCCTGGGTGATTTCGTGCCCAACATCCATTCTCCTTGGACATGGTGGACGATGAGTGAACATGACGGACCGTGGGCAAACCAAGGGTCGCAGTGGGGGTTGCTGTTCGGTGCGGCGAGGGGAACCGACTTCGACACGCAGGTGTGGCACCATTAAGTTTTTTTAAATATATTTTACCCTCCAAGTCGATGACCTGGCTCAAGGGCAAAAGTTGCCATGCAACCGTTGCTGACTAACATCCAGAGATGCTCCAAGTGTGCTGTCAAGATGCAACACCCTTTTTCATCATCTTCTGAAACTTCTTCTCCTTGGCTGATCTCTGTACAGTTTCCGCTATGATCTCATCCAAAGGCCAGTGATAGTAGTATCTGGTCCTTGTGTGGCCAACTCCACTTAAAGTCACCATTTCCCATGTCAAGTTGCTGGCATTCCCATCTTCTTGGCCAAATCCTCCAGGCGGATCTCCCTGCCCTCATCCACCAGCCGTTGATCATAGAAGTCCTAGCCAGGCTCAGGTGGGTGCTCTCCATGTGAGCACACAAGTCCAACTCCAAAGATCTAGTCAGTGGTCGTGGTTCCTCTATGCAGCTCCAGCATCATGTGAGCCACAGTCAAAACATGCAAAGACCACTTTTTGAAAGAGGGGTAGGTTTGTGCTCACAACCCTGCAAATGGATAAGGTCCAACTCAAAACCGAATCAGGAGTTTTGACAGTCCCTCATGTCAGTTTCCAAATGGCCTGGCCTTCAGCACCTGAACAAGCAGCTCCCGTGGCTTCGAATCCGGCATGGCTTCGAGACGTGACCCCCGCCCCAGTCGAGTCCTAGGGATGATCGTGCAGAAACACTGTTGCCTTGCAATGGTGCTCCCTCATCCAGCTCATCCAGCCAAATGGCCACATCAAGATCGGCTCATGTATGTGGTTCTGCTCAGAAACACCAAAAATTTCCTACTGCGGTTCTTGGCTTAGCCGCTTGCCATCTAACTGCAACTTCTTGGTTCCTAGCTGCGGTTCTTGGCTTGGCCGCTTGCCATCCAGATATCCAACCAAACAACCACCAGTTTCCTCTCCAATTCTATTCAAAAAAAAATTCAATTCATCATCCCATCGCGGTTCTTGGCTTAGCCGCTTGCCATCAAACACCCTGTTCCCACTGCTTGTCCATCCCAGTGTCCATCCCAGATTAGACATGGCATGTGCACCTTCATCTTCGACGATAGGCTCCCAGGCTTTCCGGTGATGAGCTATTGCTCGCCGCATCCCAACGCACGAGGAGGGAAGTGAGGCATGAATGCATGCAAATGTGTGTTCATGCCCTACAGGTGAAGGGCCTAATGTGACTGGATCCAGTATTCAAAACCAGTACTCCATGAGGTCAAGGACCCATGTCATCTATGTTGAGGCCTCAAATTGGGTCGCCTACAAAAATTTGCTGTAAAATACAAACAACGAGCCTCCATCTGCAGGTGACCCCAGTGGTTCCTAGAGGTGATCCTACTGCGGTTCTTGGCTTAGCCGCTAGCCATCCAGAAGCAACCCTTAATGGCTCCTAGCTGAAATCCTACTGCGGTTCTTGGCTTAGCCGCTTGCCATCCAGACATAACCTCTTGGTTCCTAGAAGACATCCTACTGCGGTTCTTGGCTTAGCCGCTTGCCATCCAGCAGTTACCCATGGTTCTCTACTGCGGTTCTTGGCTTAGCCGCTTGCCATCCAAAATACCAACCAAAAAGGAGCAGGTTTCCTTACATATTTAACTAAATCCACCTCTCAGGAGACAATGAACACAATTCAGGTTTTGATGGGGTCAAGTAAAAGGTGTTCAACGTAAAGTTAATAGTGTTCAATGTCTTCATATTGAGATGGACAAGTTTTACGAGGTCATCGACTTGGAGGGATATATATAGTCATCATGTTGTCACGTCCCATTTTAAGGCTACCTGAAGTCGGGTCCGGGCAGCCTGCTAGTGTGGGTGATCGTGCCGGTCGGATGGAGCTGCGACCCAGGAGGAAGCTTTGGAATTTGAGACGCCTTTTGATCAACTCAAACAGAACATCAAGGACCTCCGATCCAATAGTCATAGAGAGAGGCAGTTCGCATGGACATTGTCTCGTTTCGGTCATCATGCCCAAGGAGATAGACAGATTAGACTCGACAGACAGTTGGATGGACATTTGTTCTATACCGAAATGACATTGATGTATGCACCCTAGATCAGTCTATAATAGTCTATACCACAGTTCGATAGACATCCTGGTTGTTGATCAGGGTGGGAGCAGCGCCGTTCCGTATCCTTCCATCATGCAGGATGCCTTCCTTCAGCCCAACCAGGAAGCCTTAGCAGCTTGGATCAAGGTCAAATCTCCTAGAAAACTGGACACCACCTTTCTCGCCTCCAGAGTGGGATCAGTTTCCTCATGTTTCCTCCCAAGTTGTCCTTTTGCCTGCCAAGTGATCGCACAAATCTGACATTTGTTGACCCTTGCGACGCTTTGTGATCCGGTTCACCGTCTTTGTTCCCCACGTTCCGCACCTCCACCTCCATGTGTTCCTGAAAAACAGGGGGAAGACTTTCCTTTATGAGGTCATTTTCCACTTCCATGTTAGTGAGTTGGAGTGTATGGCTTTTTTGGATGGCGATGAACTTCCGTTGGCGACTCCAATCTTTCGAGTTGGTCACTGGCGTGAACAACACGTGCTCAAGTGCCCGGCTCGGCTAGCCGCTGCAAAGCATGGGTGTCTTCAAAACGGCCAAAATCATCCAATCCGTTCTTGATACAATCGGAAACGCTCCGGACTCAGCCAGAGGCATCATCATTCACAGTTTCGTGGTGATCAAACCGGACGCGTGGATCCCTTGTTCGTTTGTTTGTTTTTGTGTGTGTGTGCGTGGTTGTGTGCGTTTGGGGTCTCTCTGAATTTTCATGTGTGATTTGTGTACATTGCTTTTCACTTTGCTCGCTTCTTGGTGTTCTTCCAATCTTTTCTTGCCCATTTCGTGAATACCCCAAGAACTAATCACTGCATTGCATCATAAGTGCCAACAAGTGCAACAGCTCAGACTTGAGGGATGCGCAGCCGCATGAGATCGACACTGACATCGCAAGTATCCTATATACAGCATGACCATGCCTTAGTGCTTCATGCGGGCAGGGTGTGCGCCACGCATCACGCAATCACACTATCATGCTTATTGATCTTACTGCGCTTGCTTCGGGACGAGCCTCAGATCCTGTAGGGAAAACCAAGTGTAGCCGGGCCAACAGTTGTTTGGCATGTGCGAGTGCGCAGGCGTCCACCCATACCAAACGCGGGATGCGCCACGCCATAGCAAGCAGGGTGACGCAAGACTTTGCCGACTAACTGAACCACTTGAGAGTGGAGTGTTGTGGGGTGGGCAAATGGTTGGCAACCTCAGTCTGTCGCTGTGCTATTTGTAGACCAAGCACGCGCGGAGAGTTTGGGGACTGCACGCGCATCGGGCACCGCGTTGCCACTTGTCGGCCAACTGGGCTGCAAGGATTTCAGGACGATGCACGATCGCCGTAACTTTTTCGGGTTGCACTCGTGGGGCGGGTGAATGATGCAGGAGAATAGTAGTTAAAGGGTGCCATGATGCTCCCCTAAGTTTGGGCTTGAAAACTATATGCAGTAGCCGCTTTGACACAGTTGTTGAGCACCCCATAAAGCACCATTAGCATTTCAAGGTGTCACAACTTCAAATTTCAACATGCCAAAAAACCTGGGACCATGGTTTCCGTCAAGGCCCGTGTTTCAAACACACATCAGCTGCACCCCGCCATACCAGCTGGGCATTGGAAACTTAATGAAACTTACAAGTGAACCCCTTCCGGGAATAAAAAAATAACATGTTCGAGGGCCCGCAAGGGGTGGTTAATGGACACCCCTTAACCTCTAAGGGGCTATCAATAGAAGCCCCTGGTCTGGGGGGGTCCTGGCTTGTGTTTACCTAATTGGGTCAGAACCGACCTTGGAGGTCCCGCAAGAGGAGGCCGTGGAATTCGAGACGCCCATCTCGCAGCTGTCCAGCTTTCGACCGGAGGACAGACCGTTGGCTCTCGTGAGAGTGCTTGAAACTGCGCTGTTTCTCTCGCAGCGTGAGAGTGGAGGGATGTTAAAGGGTTTTGGTGGACGTATGCGGTCACATGTGGCGTATACTACGCAGGTGGTCGGAGGTGGTCCGACTTAATCGTCATGTCAATGTGTGTGTTTTTGGAGGTTTTTGGGTCACATTCCTCGCCATGGATCGGGTGTGTTGTGGACGTCCCGAACCCCGGACGTCGCGACGGATCGTTTGGATGTTCATTTCACGCCGCCGAGGGAAAAGGACGACGAACGAGGGCAGATCTCCGACGTTCATGGTGAGTGGGGGTGTTCCGGCGTCAGGGTGAAGCTGGTCGCCTTTTCTCACACTGTTAGTTCGGGCAGCACTGACCTTCGAAACACCCTTGAAACACACGGGTTTTTTCGATGCCAGGAGTTGGAAACGCCCTTGGAGTGGATCAAGAAATCTGTGAAGAAGGACCTGGTGAAGTTGTGATGCTTCGGAGGGTGGGAGGATTGAGCTCCCTGGGCACATGACGCAGTACACGACAGGTAGGGATCTATAGGACCATCCAGCCATGCTTCGGGGCCTAGCCAACCAGTGACGTGTGGTCGGAAAATGATACAGCTCGACGAGACTAACAAGAAAGACGCATGGATTTGTGTAGCAAGACACCAGCTTCCTGACACGTGCCTTTCATGTTTCGACCATGGCGACCGGAAGAAATGGCCTTTCAGTTGCATCTTTGGTCAATCAAATGGCCTCAGGGAAGCTTTGCCACTGAAATTTTGCCCAGAGATCAGGCATGATAAGCCCTTGGCGCCTGCCTTTGTGTCAGAAGGGGTTCATCAGCAGCTTCCCAGTCACAGCTTCTCAGGAGAAGCTGGTACCGGAAGGGGAGGCTTTGAAGTTTGAAACGCCCATCTCTATCTTGTTTCAAGAAGATGAGGAGCTCCTCGGCCAAGTCCATTCTTAGGAGTCCTCATATAGATTGGGGTGCAGAAAACGGGGCTTTACTATGACATCTTACACATGCATGCTTTATATAGATAGTTGATCTAAGTGATGCTTGGTCCTTCCTGACCGTTTTGAAGTGACCGGTAGACCGCACACTCACTTGGCCCACTTCGCTGCAGCTGAAGAGCTGCAGGTTGGAAGCTGAAGAGCTTTGGTCCGATCTGCTGGCACCGTTGCTGGAGACAGATGCAGCACCTGGATGGATTTGTTTTGACGCCTTTTGATTTTTCGGTGGAGACCTCTCTCTGGGTTGCGGGGTGGTCTCCGGTGGAAACCGTGGAATCAGAGGGATGTGGGGAACCGGGAGAAGACCGAGCTTCAGGGCGAGACGACCATGCTTTGGATGGGATTCGATGTGTTTTTCCGTCTTTGTCGGGCGTGCTTTGGGGGGAGAGATCCTCAGATGAAAGAGGCCAAGCTGCCGGAACTGTGGGGTCTTGGCTGATGTGCCGAAGTTGGAACTCTTTTGCTCTCTCTCTCTCTCTCTCTTTCAGACTCGCGAGTCTGACGAAGCGGACGAGGTGGACACCATGAACGAGAGCAACTACCTCACGGTCACCGTGCAGAAACCGTTCCTCGGAGAAGCCGATTTGGGCGAAAGACGGCCGGGTCGGAGTCTGAAGGCCGACGGCCGAGTGGTACCCACTCAGCTGAACTGAATCGACATCAATTCACCATGCTGCCATGCAGTGAGTGTTTTCTGAGGTCCGCTTCTGCGTTAAAGAACGCTCGGTGATGCGGACACTGGCATGTCGGCATGCCTCATTATGTGAGGAAGAATCACACTATATGAATAAGATTGAACAGGCAATAGTTGCAACTCTAAGATGCTCCTCACTACTACCCAAGTAGAGGTCCCTGCAGTTAAAATCCCTTACTTGTTCAATACTGTCCGCATTCAGTGCGACTTGGCGCTTGGAGGGAGCAAAACGGGAGAGCCGGGATGGCGGTGTGCCAGCCAGCTACCGCAGCACGTCCGCGCAGCTCAAGAGTCTCAAGTGCATGGGGGCGCCGAGGGAGCCAACCCATGCTGTCCAGCTCCTTGCAGCGGTTTCGGCAGGATCTCGTGCGAGCAACATGGGTGGAGGAGTGGTGATGAGTCCCATCTCGTTGCACCAATCCTATCCAATCCTCCAAAAATGATCAACCTGGTTCACACTGCGGGTTTCTGTGTTTCTCACCATGTTCGTTTGCAGTGGGGTGATATATACCCCCCAGATGATGAGGGTTGTTCAATCATATTCAATCTAAGTATAGAGGAGGGTGATTCATCAAGAGCCTACGGTATAAAGTGACTTAGTTACTTTGTTTAGCCGCCGGTTTTTCATTGGTCCTGCGGCCTGCGTGGCCTGGCTGCGTTCCACTGGGTTGCCCAGGTGACTTAAGGACTTGGATCAGCAAAGAAAATCCACAGCCATGGCCTGACAGCAGGTGAGCCTTTGCCAAGCTTTGGATTAACTCGTACTAACTTTGGATGTGTTCTCCTGCCATTGCAGGGAGTCCAAGCCTTCAATTCATCAAACAAATCTCTGGGGGCGGGGGTCCAAGACTTATGGAATCTAGAACATAGGGCATTTAGGTGATCCGAACACGGGCATAATATAGTTTGACTAGTCTTAGGGTCTACACACCATATGCCATTGTGCCACCCGTGGGCTTGCAGCACCAGCTCGCAGCACTGATGGGCCAGCCGAGGCCTTGATGGGCTAGCCGGCCTGGCCCATGCTTTTGCGCGGAGAAGCCTTGCCCCAGTGGTGAGCTGTCTTGGCAAGGCCTGTGGAACTTACTCAAACAGCAGAGTGGTAGTTTGGGTTCGGAGTTTCGGATTGTGGAAACTGCATGTCTTTTGGATGTTTTTGTTTTTTTCAATTCCTTCACTTGTGCTGTCAGAGATCCCCCATGACAGCTATTTGGACATGTGGGTGTCGGAATGCTCTCCATTGCTACAGGACAAGCACCCCCCCCGTCATCTCAGTTCCAATCTGGCCGACATCGTGCAACATATCCAACTCCTCAAGATTTGAGCTCATGAAGTCTCTCCATTTCCCATTGCTGTCAAGACCCTCACCATCAGACTCGGACCAGTTCGGAGATTGACAGACTCAAGACTCATTGGCACGTCCCGGTCGTAGCCCCACTGGGCCATGGGAGCCACCTATGGATGCCATGACCACCTCAACCACGAGTGCTCCGACAACAGGTGATCTCAGAGCCTGCTGAACCGCATCCTCGACTGATCGAAGCACCGGGACATGTGAGCCAATGGCAAGGACTGGCCCAAGAGTCGACTCAAGTCGAATCCGCTGGAGCGAACCGTCTGGGGGAGAAGAGCGAACCGTCTTCCAGAGCGAACCGCGTCCACCTGGCGCAAGTCAGGGTTTCACGAGCACCAGGGGCCACGGGTCCACAAGTAGCCAGACACTCCATGGGGCCAGGGCCGGGCCAGGGTTGAGAGATTCAGATCTGACTGCATAACCAATCCACCTGCATGTCGGCGCGCCAGGAGATCCGTCAACATGCATTTCCATGGTGGATGAGGTCTATCGGGGCCCGCTGCTGCTGCGGCCGCCCAACAAGCGCAACTGACCAGAAAAACAGGTCAACAGGTCGCCTCAAGCAGGGCCTGTTGCCAGACAACTGAGCTGTTGGAATAAAACGAGGTTTCTAATCTCTTCACGGGTCAGCATGGTATGGATTAAATCTTTTTCAGGTTGAGACAGGCACGTTTGGAACAACTCCGGACAATTATGTCAGAGTGTGGATTTGTTGTGCTGCAACTTGTGGTCAAATGGTGTCCTACTTCAAGAGACACTTGCATAGGCTGCATCGAGCTGCACACATGACATTTTGGCTTGTAAGACTCTTGTAGGCTAGCCTTGCATGAAACCGGCACGACTGATTGGATGTGTGAGAGGCATCTACATGCCAGCAGTAAATCATTCAATTTCATGGATAGACTCTGATCGATCAGATTTGTTTAAACAACAGCCGGGGCATTCTATTCCTTCAGGTCTTGCTTATTGACTATGTGATGTATCCACCCACCTGGAATCAGACGGGTTTTGAGGAAGGAACCTGAGTCTTCTGGAGCTGCAGTTGCCATCGCCCGAACCTCGCAGTGCTCACACTGAGGCAACAAGACTAAGGGCTTGGAGGAGAGGTGGTGGCTGGAGTATGATCCGCCCAAGGCCAACTACATCAGCGGACAGGGCCGTGGCCCCCATGGTGGGAATAGTATCAACAAGCAGACGCGAGGCAGAAGATGAAGGGAAAGGATCGTCATAAACATACAAGCACTTGTGTTAAGTCGTCTGGTCTTGTAGAAAGTCGTCTGGATGTAGCAATTGTGTTTTAACATAAAACGGGTGACTTTTCGCGAGCCGGGTGACTTTTGACTAATGCTGCGTTTCCATGCGGCCGGGTGACTTTCTGCAAACCCGGGTGACTAAACCCCAGCGCTAGTATGGGCGTGTGTTTTCATAGGGGGTATCCAACCAATGGGTTTTGCTCTATTTTCCTTCTTCCAGGGGGTGACCGCAGCCACTCACGCAAGGAACTGGCCGCGGCAAATGGTGCCCATCAAGTACAAGCAACGATGGGAGAGACGGGAAAAGCTCCGCTATGCCTTTCGCAAGCATGGCTATGAGCTGGACGTGCCCAAGTTAGGCGGGTGAAAGTAATGTCCATACCAACCCCTCCCTTCCCTGGATCGTGTGTTTCCACTAAGTCACAGGTGAGTCAGGTGATCTCTTCATATTTGCCCCGTGAGGGTTCCAGGGAAGAGGGGAAGAGATCATATTGACGGTGTGGTTTCCAGCGAGGAGGCCACCGAGTGACGGAACTCGCGAGAAGAGGCCTGCTTCGCATCAGAAGAGGTAAATGAGGAAAACCAGTCTCCAAAGATGCTGCATTCTGTGTAGAGGGAGGCAGGTCACATGACATCAATAGAATTGTCTATGGGAAAAGGGAAGGTCAACGCCCCATGATGCTCTTTTGCACCACATAGGACCTAGGAGCGACGACATGTCACTACTACAACATGCAACAACACCCGTTACTTAGTACTTGCTTCTTCTTCTTCTTTCTGCATGATGGATGATCGGGAGGGTCGTTTAAAGGGTCGTCACCATCAGCCCGTTTTGGACACCTGTGGAGTGCTGACATCGACCTCCAGTGCTTCCTTTCGGAGTTCCATTCCTCATCGACCTGAGCGGATCACGAGCGATCCATGTTTCACCCGTCCAGCCGCAAGCGCTCGCGGCAAGAGGCAAAATGGAGATGGATGAATAGGCTACACACAGGATGGTTGACGAAGACCTTACGGAAAATTCGGGGTTTGACTTGCAAGCTGTTGATATCCGATGCCGCTTTCAGATAAACCCTGACTTTGACTGAGACCTGCATGCATGGCACGGGTCTCCAAGATGCCATCCTATCCAACCAGAAATCTAACGAGCGTGTGTTTTTCGCATCATCCCTCAAGGGTCGTCCCCCACACAACCCGTGTTGAACTCATCAGCTTGATGCTCCGGCAGCGGGTGTGGCGTGCTTGGAGCCCCGAACCCAGGCTTGGGCTGACGGTGGAGGAGAACTCCAAGGTCGCTGGTGGTGGCGTGGCGGTGTGTGGACTGGAACCCAACTCCAACGCGGAGCGTGGCGTGGCCGAGCGACGGCGAGCGGCAAGCGGCGAGCGGAAGGGGCTGAGGAAGGTGGGTCGTTGAAAGCGGTTGAGGATTTGGGTGTGGTGGTTGCGGTTGCGGTTGCCCTCACCTTCTGTCAGCCTGGTATAGATGGTATAGGGAATTTAGAACCATGTTGTGACATGTGCATTCATATACCTGTGTATACATGAGCAATTGAAAGGCCCTCTCACCTCATAAAATGCTCTCCACAGCATTTGTCGAGGTGCTGGCTTGCGCACGGGGCTGCAGCTCTTAGCTGCTGGTGGTGTTCCAGCAACGGGACTGAAAAGCCTGATGAGCGAGATCCGTGGTGGAAGCCCCCCGGCAGACGAACCAGCTTGTCCCGAAGAGCATTACAGTGGAACGTTGGCAGTCTTCCAGTGAGGGTAGGGCATACTTAGGATCAGTTCCAGGACTGACATTATTGATTCCTGTTACATCCATCAGTGATCATGAATGAGTGGCTGCAGATCTGAATTCGTTGTGTTTGACAATTCTGCCACTCAACTTAGGAGCCCTCCGATTTCCGAAACAACAAGAAGTGAGACACCGTGGAAACAACTTATACAGTATTGAATGGACACTGTCACACACATATATATATATTATATTATATATTATCACAAACCTGTAGCACAGAAACATGTAACAAAAACTGACATCGATAAAACACATGACCATAATAAGAGGTTCTCAACATGGTGAGAAATTGAACCTGTTTCATTACCCCAAATAAAGAGGCGCCCCGGGGCCCGAGGTCCATGGCATGTCCCTGGAGGACGCGATCCAGCCGATCGAGGCGGCGGAAGACCAGGCGGCGAGAGAAGACCGGCTGTTGGACCAGAAGTTGATGTGGGGCACAAGTCACCTAGCCACGGAAGAGCATAATTCCCCTCTAACAAACGTGTCAAGTCTCGCACCACCAACCTGAGACCAATGAACACTGACAGTGCCAGCGCATGGCGTTGCAGTCCATGAGTAGCCCCATGAATAGCCCCTTACTTGATCTTACTTGACATCCCAATCCAAGAACGCGTGCATGCTATGCTCTACTGTAACCAAAGTGGACCTTAAAACAAAAGGCACTATAAGAACTAGCAGAGCATATATCATATAACGAATATAGTATTAGGTATTAGATGGTATGAGTATAGGTTATTTATAACATGACTCTGAAGGGCTTTGAGAGCAATATCATATCAACCAACGGACCAACTGTAGTGCGTGGGCTTCATTTCGCCGAAAAAAAGGTGCAGCTCACCTTCTTCATGGGCAGTGCAGCACCTTTGCTGAGAAGATTTGGGATGTGTCAGGCATGTGGATCGATCGCAACCTACTGAGCCATTCCACAAGGGCATTGCATGGTGTGCTTTTGTTCAACACTCTCCACGCTTTGTTGGGTCCGCTCTGGATGCCTGAGCACTTTGACGTTGGTCTCTCAAAAAGCCGGGCACCCTGCACGCCATCCCCACGGCCACAGCTCAGGAGGCCTTCTATGGAGTTCTAGGGCCCAAACCTGCGTGGCTCTCGTCCTTCCTCCACAAGCTGCAAATCCAACACTTGGCCTGGCAGTGGCAGGACCTGAACCCAAACACCCATGCGTCACCGCGCAGCCGAATCCTGCGCCAGCGAAAAAGCGCGCGATATTGCCCAGAGACTCCATGTATGCCATATTTGCCTACATTGACCCCCAAAACCACCCCAATGTAGGCATATATGGCAAACGTGGAGCGTCTGGGTAGTATGATATCGTCCGCCCGCCGTCCTTGAACCGTTCGCTCCGGCTCGACCGGAGCCGATGGACCGATAATGGCAGCGGATGGACCGGCTGCTGCGTGAGAACACTTTTGGATCTTTTGATGTTTGGGATGTGATCTGACCATTTTAGACTTCAAGTCAGTAGAAGTGTTGCTGATATGACCCCTTCCCGGTTGATCTCCAGACATGAAAGAGGTTTTTGGTCTTAAAACATTTGAAACTCTTTACCCACTGCCTATCTTCAATGATCTTTTCAAAGCCCAGACCAGTGTGGCAGGCCTTTTCCGCTTCAACCACCGGTAACAATAGCTGCTCATGCCCCTCCCCTCCCCGGTGCCCGCCAGGAGGGCAAGACACCCCAGGGACGGACCTGGAGCTGGGCGGCTTCCGCTGCACGGAGCCGGTCGAGCGGAGCGGTGGAACCGGTGGAAGGAGAATGCACATGAGGTGAACTGTAGTGATGGTGTAACCGGTGGTTTTTGATGGTGTAACTGTGTAACTATTTGTTTGATGCTAATCTTTGCCTAGGGCCTAAAATGGTTGTTTGTCCAATATCCCTTATACAGTTACAGGATGTTACAGGTGGTCTAGAACCCGTGCTTTTGAGGCGGTGCTTCAGCGGCCCTGTGTCAAAAAAAACAACATTTGGGACCGATGGGTTCTCCACTGACATCCAGGAGAAGAAGAAAAAACAAACAAGCATCCGCGTGGCCTCAGCTAGCGAGGTAGCATATAGATGCAGATTCTGCTCAAATCTGTTCAAAGGATGTATGGACATCAGTATCCCGATTTCTCTCCTCGATAGCAATGCCTGGATAGGCGGCCCGTGCCTACTGAGGCTTTAGAGCTTCTAGATGAACTACGGGAAAGCGACGTGGATGAGGACGCCCCATGCCTCCTCAGTTTGTTGTGTTCTTACTTGGGGGGGAGAGGAGGTCAAACTCGGGGTGTGACAAGAGGTTGGCAAATTGCATTCAATTGCTGATGAAGTCGAAGGTCTTTTTGTTTGTGACCGGTGTTCCAGATTCTACAAGCCAAAACGCAGCAATATACAAATTAAGAAGAACATGATAGAGTCCTGGCAGAACTCCCTGTGTTCATATGAAAGTGCATGAACCAATGATGGCACACTAGGACTCACTCAGGTCCGAAGCTCCTTTTCGAATCAGAGGTGGGGCAGGAGCATTCGTGTTGTCATTCCTTGAGGAGACCTACTCCAATGCAGTGGTCGCTGCCATGGAGGCCCAGCACCAGCGCCTGACTCTGAGGTGTTTTCTGCTGGTGGAGGTGGAGATTGGACACACCAAGAACGCGTGAAGGAAGTTGAAAGGTCCCTGAGTCCCAAAATCTCAATCAACTCAGGTTGCATAAGCACATTCAATCACCCAATCCCAACGGATTTGTGAGACAACCGCTTGCCTTTGCACCTGATTCTCACCTCTATAATTTACTTCAAGTCTCCTTGAGGTGCTGATTCTTTTCCAATGGTGTGTCATGTACTTGGAAATCTATGTCACACCAAATGTTGAACAGGGCGAGGTCTTCCAGAAACTCTTTCGCACAACCAAAAAGGGTCTTCAACACGTCAAAACAACTCTCCCCACAACCTTCAAAGTGACCTTTCTCGCTAACCCCCAAGACAATTTATATACATCCAGCCGCACAAAGGCAGGCACCCCAACAATTCCGGAGGTCCACTACCGTCAATTAAGTCCAATTTCCGTATGCCACGCGACCGATCCTTATTCCCGCGCTTGTTGGAGGCCTGTCAGAAGGCCTCGCGATGGCAACCCGCTCTGAAGCTCCTGGATGACCTTTGCGCCTCCAGCGCCGCCGCGGACCTCCGCGCCGCCTACCGCGCGGCCGTGGTGACCTGCGACCGGGGTGGAGAGCCACTGCGAGCAATGTGGCTGCTGGAGCCACGGCTCCACCGGGGTATGTTAGAAAAGCAACATGAATCGAATCCCCACTTGAAAAGAAACAGTGAGAAGCTCACGGCTAGTTAGCCGTGAACAACACCCAAAAAACACATTGTTGGGTTCGGAGATGGCAAGTTCTGTGTGGAAAAACACCCTTTTATATACCTCAAACCGATGGTTTTCAGGGGGGGATGTGTGTCAAGAGTCATTACAGTACCACGGTGCAGTGTACGTCCAATTGACTGCGCCCAGAGAGGCGAACGTCGGGACTGGGAAACGGACGCAAGATTGAATGGCTTGAGGGGTTCGGGGGGATGCATTACTCAGATTGGTCAGGAGAGATGTCGGCGGTGTGTTTCTAAGCCTCTCAGGCCGACCATGACCTCCAAAGGCCACAGGGGCGAGGTGGAAGCTAGAAGCCTCTCAGGGCGAGGTGGAAGCTAGAAGGTGTTAAAGACCGCACAAACAGCCTCCAAGGTTCATGCAGAATTGGGCCTGGCTTCCGGGACAAAACGTTTTGAGCTAGAGTCTAGAGAAGAGCATGTCATTCTTTGAACTTTCAACAAGGATTGTGGCCCGTTTGGAAAACACAGCCCTTTCCCACGTGCCCAGGACGAGTGGGTTCCCCATTCCAAGTGTTTTCATTCGAACCCAGGACGAGATGAAGGCGCGCAGTGCCTAGGCGCAGGCATGCCGTCCTGTCAGGTTCTTCCATCGGAAGTGAAGCTATGGCAGGAAGGTGGACGCGATGCCCTTCTCGGGTTGGAAGGGCAGGGATTCGGAGAAAACACTAGGGAGGGTGGTATGTGATACTGCTGGGTGCGGGGTCCAGAGATGTATTATACTGTATACTGCATGTGGATGAACAGATGAATGTGAGGCAATCCGCAAAACCAATTACCTGAACATGTCTCCACCGTTTTAGTCCTTTCCACCACTTCTGAGCTGCGTTTCAGCAGGGCGGTTTTGCAGCATGACATGGAAGGGCAAGACTGACGCTACCTCCCTGAAATGATCAGATGGCATGCTCCCGACAGGATGACCTTCCTCTAGAAACAGATGGTGAACTCCACTTCCAATGAGAGTCGGAGAGTAGCTTTAAGACTTTAGCGTATTGGAGCATCCCTGGTCCCGAGTTGCCTTCAAGGACACCATTTTGGAGGGTACCTCTATGTTTCTCTGTTGCGTCAGGTGGTTCGGACTTCCGGGCCAAAACCCCGCAAGGCGTCCATGGACCCGCCGTAGCCTGCGGTTCGGCGATCCGTTCGGCCAAGGCATTCAGCCGGATGCGGCCACCTACAATAGTGCCATCAGCTCGTGTCGAGCTTTGCTCCGGTCCTTGCAGAAGCTTGGGCCATGGGGAGCTTTGAAGAACACCGAGACCCACCAAACGTGCATGTAGATGTAGAGACTCTTGAGTAATAAAGCTCCCTCTATTTAGCTTGTAAAGCCTCTTCATGTGGGGTAGCCTTTACTAACTAGTCAAATCTAGTCAAGAGATGTCGTCTACATGAAAGGGAGTGAACTGTTGACCGACCTTGACCCCTACTTTGCATGCCATATGCGATTGTTTTAGGTCTGGAGCGCTGGTGGGCAGTTTGTACATGCCTAGTGGAGATAGTACCTGGCTGAAGGTACTTGGCCTGGCTGAACGTAGATGTGAAAGCTGCTTTTTCTTGACCACCTGAGCCTTGAAAAGCCTTGACCCCTCTGCTTCAACTCGGGTGGCGCCTTATCAGCCATGTTTGGATGGAACTCCAGTGACGCATGACGTCAACAGTAGCCATGAAAAGGTCTGGCTGAGATGTTCAGAGAATTTATATAGTATGATAATATAGTATGCAATGTGTTTTTGACCACTGTAATTTATTGTAGTACAATATAGCAGTCCTGTATATTCCTATTGTTCATTGCATTTTATTACAATCCTTTTTTTTTGGTCTTGGCAGGAACCGTTTGGTAATTGCCTTATGAACCGCATCAAGAACCTCAAGGGGGGCTGGTGCTCATTTCACGTGGCCTTTTTTTGTTGCGCGTGTGGTTGCCTTGCTGTGTCCCGGATTGCTTTTGACCCCACGTCCATGCCCACAAACTATGTTAATAGCAGTCGTCCAGCGCCCAAACCTGCCCCCCAACATTCTCGTCACTCCCTCGAGCGGCTCGTGGACCCACCCACCGAGGACCCAGTCGGCGAGCCTGCCCGACCTGCGCGCGCGCGTCCGCCGCGGGCCCCGCCGGGCGCGGCGGCGGTCGCGGCCGGTGCAGCAGCGGAAGCTCAGTGTGTGACCACGCGCCGTGGAAGAAAGGGTGCGACAGCGGCCATGAGACATGAGATGTGAAGGCGACGTGGAAGTCTTGGGGTGGCGGAGACGTTGCGTGACGAACCAACCGATGCAAACGCCACAAGGGCCACACCAAGTACCAAGTGAAAGGGAGGGATGAACTGTCCGGAAGTGAAGGACTGGTCGGAGTCACCCAGAAATTCAGCTCCTTTGCCGCAGTCTGCCGCCAGTCCAGGCGCCACACAGGATCATTTATCCATCACCTTGTCCAACTCCTACTTGTTGAATTTCACACCTGAAACAGGCACAGGCTTGGTGCCCAGATAAGTGCTCAAATAAATTCAATAGATAATTCAATAAATTCCCATCACCAATTGTGTTTCGGTTCTTCACCTCTTCCTGGTCTTCCTCATGCCCCTCCCATCCTCTCTTCGACCACAGGTCGCCCTCCAAAGATGCCATCACATCGCACCGTGCAGTGACCAGCACCAACTGGAGGTCCTCCTCGAAATCTGGCCAGGCACACGACTCTCCGGGTTGGTCGTGACTGGGGTTCGAATGGAAGGGGGTTCATTGGACTCAATGTGTTTTGTCTTGGCTAAGAGGAAGGCCATGGAACGCCAACAGCCAATAGCACATCACATGTGGTGTGTGTTCTTTGCTGATGTTTGCTGTGGTAAGGCTGGTAAGGCCTTAGCTTTGGTTGACGGTTGTATCACCTGCAGACTCCTACGACCATGGTATGGAGATGCTGAAACAGCCTTTTTTTTTCAGGGGCTCAGCTCCTTCGCCCTCCATCCTGAGGGCCACCTCCCGTTCACGAGAACCGATCGGATCCATCGAGTCACATGTGCAGCCACGAACGGCCTTGTTCGATTGAGTGATCGATGACAGCCACGAACACGCCCTGAAACAATCGAAGTGAAAAAACAGGGCCGGAAGGGAAGACCATTTTCCTCTAAGAAATTCCTGGTCAGCTTCCATGTTTCATCTTATCTCACCCTCAATTCTGTTCCCCCGTCCAGTCAAAGTAGGTCTACCTTGATTAACAGGTCTTTTGCTCCAGCAAATCCAGCTGGCTGGCTGCCTTCAGTTTCGACATGTGTTTGCTCCAAAGTTCCACCACAGCATGCCACGTCCATTCTCCTAATACATCCGAATCCATCTTTGCCCGCGTCCTTGAATGCTGTGTGTATTTCTTGATTGCTGAGTTCATCAAGGAAATAAAAAACAACCCAATAATACTCCAATGTTGCTGCAACATGCTATACATAATTGTCTTGCAATGCAAATAGACGAGTCCGCAATACATTTGTTTAAACGTTGGCATAGCCTTCCTATCTGCACTTTGGCACCAACAACCCACCAGGCGGGTCATCCCACCTAGGAGCCACTCTCCTTGGAGCCCTTGGCGCCGTAAGAGGGCTCAGGGCGAAAACGCGTTGGACGCCAGTGGGGTGGACGTTGGAAGACTGCAGCTTTCGGCACCCCTGAGGACATTGGAAGACACCTTGAGGTCGGGACGTTGGTCAGGACGAATGGGAGGACCTTCAAGGTTGGCAGGTTTCTTTGTCCGTCCTTGCTTCCTTAGGGTTAATTTTTTTGGGGTTCCTTAGGGTTCCTTGGTTTCAATCTGGGAAGCAGATGCAATGCCCCATTGAGCTTTCACAAGAAGTCAATGGCTCGTTTTTGGGCACCTGGATGTCTAAACAATTGCACAACGGCAAATAATTACGCGTACCACATGACCATGGGGAGAAGAACAACAAATGACAAAACATATCCTTTACCAAAAAAAGCGGAGTGTCGTGCTGAAGTTGACCCGGAGGTTGTGAAATGGCCCACTGTTCTGGGGAATGTCCTGCCCAAAAGGCTGAACAGAGAGGTCAGCTGTTTGGCCCCAGGTTGGCAGGGCGAGGGCTTGTGGCTGCAGAGCCTAGGTGGGGTGGGTAGACGCCTGGATGTGCCCAAAGCACCGAGAGAAGAGGAACTTCGAGTAACTCATACCCCATCGTCATTATACCCGCCTTTGTAGCATTTTGTAGCTTGCAGAGTCACCAATGTCAGAGAACCACGAAACCACCAACATTCACCAACTCTCCCGTACCATTTCCATGTAATTCGTTTGTTGAGGCGTATGACTTGCCGTCCACCAGCCGAACAGCTCTCCCAACATGTTGATCCGAGTGCGTTCGGTTCGTGGGATCTACACTGAAATCAGCATGGAAATATAGCTATAGATTATACTCTAGGAATGGAACATGGGAATATGGCCTCCGATTTTAAGACCATGAAATCCTCATCAACTAGAGAGGGTGCACAAAAGGGCACTCCACGTCCATCCTATTTGGCCCTCCAGGGGCCGCCGAGCGGCGTCGCCGCAACCGGCAGCTGCCAGGCGCGAACGCGGTGCCGCGACGCGGTGCCGGAGACTGGCGCTCAAGTGGATTCAAAGCAAATCATGGCAATATATACCCCACATTTGACCTTTTTTTTTTGGATAGGAAAAGACCATGTTTTGGCTCCAAAACAGGGTTCAATCAGGTTCTTAGGTACATGAGGTATACATGAGGGATCATATATATATATATATAGGTCCAATGGGGTGTGGAAAGGGCCTAAGAACATTTTAGTGCCAGATCGCGTATGGCCTAGGATGTTACACCCTTCGTTGGCACGCGGTTTCCAAGTTGATATCCAACCTGATCAGTTGGATTGTTTCCATCTATGATCCTTCCACCCCTTTTATTGGATGAAAGCCTGGAGTGTTGCTCACCCACTCCATGATTCAATGCTTTCACCAAAGGAGTCTTGCGACCCCCGCCACCCGCGCGCAGTGATGCCACCGCGCTCCCCACCGCCACTATCCGCCACCATAGCGCTCCTGGCAGGAGGGCGGTGTCAACTGGAGGGCCGCTGAGCTGAGCAAAAGCAGATCCTCGATCCACCCAGGAAACAGCTTCCTTGTCTTCCTTGCGGTCTCTACAACTTGCCCTCCCTACGCCGGTCCTTACACATGTTTGAAGTGGAACCCAACTTGCGAAGTTGTTGTGTCCATGGAACTGTGGGGTAGGAGCACTTGAAGCTCTTGAGGGAAAGCCTAGGAAGCCAGCACGCTGAGGTTCGAGCGGAAGATGATGAAGAGCCCCTCACAGGCAGGGCATGGGGCGTGATGGGGCCCTTCTTGCCCTGGCGACTGAACGTGGTAGAAAGTCGGCTTCCAGGATGTCTTGGACAAGACTGAGACAGAGCTACAGCAACTGAGTCCAGAGTTCTGGCCACTCTAGTTGGAGTTTCTACGTCGCTAACTTTTGTGATTAAGTTGTGCCGTTCATTCACATTCATTCACTCTGAAAGATCACCAGGCACGGCCCCCACTTTGCTTCCCCAGCATGCGGGGACCCCGCGATGCTCCGTGAGGGGTCTTTGTCCACGGCTGCCTTGGTGGCACTCAGGTGGGGGTCGACGAGTTGATAACACCGCGTCGGTGTGGCACGGGTACGAATGGAAGGGGCTCTGAGGCTCGGACAGAAAACCACCAGGTGTTTTGGATGATGGACTTCATGCATAAAAAAAGTAGCTTCCAGCCATCCGGAAAAAAAGTTGGACATCGGATTGTTGGAGCTGAGCTAGACTCACTTAGACCACGTGGACGGCTCACTTGACCGGTGCGAGCCGCACCGTAGACCGCGATCGAATGGGAAAATCGGTCCTGACGAATCGGTGCGGACCGACGTTCGTCGGGCACTGCCACCATCGGGCACTCCACGTGAGATCCATTCCAAAAGACGTCTGGCAGAAGCCAGATGGATCGGTGCCATTGACAGCATGAACACACCACCATTTACAGGGCCATTCACTGTTAACCATTCACTTCTCACAGTGAACCCTCTCTAAAGCAGCGACTTCTCGATCGGTGGATCGGATGGGACGCGCCGGCCCAACCGTTGGAGGAGGGGACCCTGCACGTGATTGGCCCACTACTTTGGGTGAGATGTTCATGACATGCAGACATGATGTTACAGTTTTCAAGCTGAGGTGCTAAGTGTTGGAAGTTGGTCTTGTGGTTGACGGTATTGAACTTAGAGACTTGGAAAGGTTTGGAAGAACCGGCAGAACTCCGCTGGGCCTCGTTCAACTCCCATGGTGGAGAGCCGAGTTTCTCTCATCTCGCACTGCCCGAGGTCTTGAAGCGAGTTGTGTGTCAGGTGTGTTTGGTCGATGTGCTCGGCACATGCGCCGCAGAAAATGCGCATGTGTTGCAGGTCATAATTTGCTCCTCCTGTACCACCTTGTGGTTGAGGCGGTTGAGGGGTCTAAAGCTCTTAGATCAGAAAAACGGCAGATCTCCAGTCGCATGGGGCTTGGGGAGGGCAGATACAGATGAAACAGATGATGGGCAGAAAGCTTGGTCCGAACCCTTTAGGCATCATTGGCTGCATCTGTATCTTATTTATGCCAGGGACTTTCCTAGTGATTCATGGTAACCTCCTACGAGGTTTGATGCGGAGCCACGTGGTGAGGCGTATACCAGTCCAGCTATAGCAGTTGTATAGATGTTCATATATATTTATAGTAATATAGTCTAATATAGTATAACTTGCATCGCACCGTTACAGCAGCAGAGACATTTTATACAAAATTATAGAAAGGTTGTAGAAAGATGTTGTATATCTGGCTGTGGCAGGCAGCAGTTACGTGGAACTTGAACATGGGAACCCAATTCTTGAATCCCTCCGGGCGTTTGTCGAGCCCTGTTTTGACCAAGAACTATGCGCCTGGAACTGACGGGCCGCGCGCTATAGGCGCTTGAGGCGCCCGGGACTGCCAGAGTCCGCTTGCACCGGGAGATGCTTCCTACCCAGAAAGCTGTAGAAGCGAATGGTCCAAAACGCTGTTGACGTTTCCCTCTCGCGCGACTCGCGCTTTTTGAGATGGTCCAGCTTTGTGTCAC